GGGTGGTAGCCAGATGGCATTGGCTGATGGACGGAACCCAGAGGAGGCCGACCCTGTGCGATCTAACGGGTCTATGGGAGGTAATTGGCAGTAGGTTTTTTTAATATTTACAGAAACATATAAACAATAACATTCCTTGCATATTAAGTAAAGGTTTACCTCACACATATGTGCTAGTCATTCCTGACTCTAGGTGGCAGTGCTCATCTCCATTTCAAAGAGCCAGTGCTATCTGAAAACATCTCCGTGGTCATTTGGCCGGCATGACTAAATGCCGAAGGCGCACAGAACGCTGTTACCTTCCTATTTTTCTACTTGAATTTTTACATGCTTTGAAACTGCTAGGTTGGCAGAAGCTGGGACAAGTAATGGAAGCTCACTCCGTTATGCAGTGCTAGGGATTCGAACTGCTAACTGCCGACCTTTCTGATCGACAAACTCAGTGTCTTAGCCACTGAGCCACCGCATCCCTCTAGACAATGTGTCCCTCTTATATTACATATTGCAATATACATATAAGTCCCCTAGGTCAATTCATCTGCCCATGTATTTTCTTTAGGTAACTCACCCTCCAAATTTGGACTCCTCAGTTAAGGGGTGATAATTCTATACTGGAAATTTGACGAGATGGCTTAATGTGTTTAATGGCATTTGACAAACGAACACCTATCCCTGTGTTCAAACAATGCAATAAAATTAACAGGTTTTGGTTCTATTCTGGAGACTGAATAGAATAGACTGACTACAAAATTCTTGTAGACAGATTAGACATCATTGGGGTATCTAGCCACTATATGAACCAATAATTGTTACCATAAAGCAGCTTCATGCATTTAAAAGACACATTTAACTTGCCTGGCCCAAAGATACTCAAAAGCTAAATAATTCAAGAATAATTCTGTAGTACTTATATTTAACAACACAAAGGTAACACATATACATACAAACATATTCAAGTTAAAGGAAGTACAACGTTTAATAGCATTTGACTGCAGTAGATATTTTATATTTTCTCTTTAAAAAAATAGAACCTGAGCACATAGTTTTGTTATGAGCCCCAGCAGCACAGTGATTAGAATGCAGTATTTCAGGCTAATTCTGCTTACTGCCATGGGTTTGATTTTAACTGGCTCAAGGTTGACTCAGTCTTCCATCCTTCCCAAGTCAATAAAATGGGGTGTCAGATTGTTGGGGGCAATATGCTGACTCTGTAAATTGCTTAGAGAGGGCTATAAAGCATTGTGATGTGGTATATGTCTAATTACTCTTGCTATCTCAAGTTTAAAGAGACAAAGATATGGTGACTTGCTATTAATGTTTATACTCCCTCCAAGGAGAAAAATCATTGCATAACTTTATTAGAAGATTGCTAGTTTTACAGTCATAAATCTGTTGGAAGTAAGAGCAACAAGTAGGAACTGTGCAAAATATACTCATGTGCCTAATGATCAGGGCCATAGACATCAACTCACAGCACTTTTATCCAGTTAGGATAACTGTTTTCACAATTTGTCATCATTATTTCGGAGAAAATAATTCCCGTCACTCCTACAAATCATTCCATTGTACAAAACATTCACTCAACTTCATCCCAAAGAACATAAAAGTAGTTTGTAAAAACACAGCTACATTTCTGTTGGAAAATGGATATTTGTCTTGCAGGTCTGAGTCAATAATGCTTAGCTGGAAAATACATATAATCATGCTGCTCCAGTGGTGGGATTCAGCCAGTTTGCACCTATTCGGGAGAACTGGCAGTTCTAAGCAGTTCGGAAAACCGAACTGGGCTAATCGTGTGAGGAAGGCAGGAAGGAAACATTCTGGTGTTGTTTCTAGCCTAATCTTTATTGCCCTGCTTACAGAAACTGCCTCTCTAGTTAACCCTTATTACATTGCAACAACTAAGGTGAAGCGCCCATCGAACATTGAGTTGGCCACACACACATGGTCACATGAGCACTGAGCTATGTTTACCCAGCTGGTCATTAGGGCAGAGAACCAGTTGTTAAATTATTTGAATCCCACCACTGTGCTACTCCATATCAATCTTAACAGCTTATCAAATTCTATAATGTCAACTAGGAAATTAGTTGGAAAAGAGGCAAATCAGCAGCTGAAGATACTCACCGGGCTGTATGTTTCATCTGCAGAATGATTAATTTCCCACCAATCTGATGTCCATTCCCATGCATTTCCCACAATGTTATACAGGCCATAACCATTTGGAGGAAATGCTGTTACCTGCCTCAGAAAAAAAAAGTGGTCAACGCTGCAGAAAAATTAGATTATTTATCCTGTAAGTAACCAATGAATTTACTGAATAGGAAAGAAGAATTCATCTGTACAATATTGCTTTGCAGTTTTTGTTGTTCTTAATGATCATGATAATCTATGTTGCAATTTTTTCATTTCTAGGGGGGGGGGGAATCTTCCCTTAACATGTTTACTAAATGTTCAGGTTTTGCCCAGATTTTCTGGTACTCTCACCACAGAAGAATACCTAATTGTCCATTTGACCAATTTTGATATATAACAGGGTTTTTTGTTATGTCATTTTGCTTCAGCTCCGATATGTCAATATTCTTTTAATGGATCCTTCATTCTTGTAGCTCGATAGCCTTGCTGAAGGATATGTTTCTTTAGAGTCAATTCTCTCTTGCTGCCAATAATAATAATACCAAGGAAAATAGGGCATTGTGGAATGTTACAAGTTTATCAGACAATTAAAGAAGAAAAAAGGCAATTGAAAGAATATCTGAAGATAATGAAGAAGATGCAATGAAACTAGTATACTAGGAAGGCTTATGAATACTAGAGAGACCAAACTGGCCTACAAGAAAGTTCAAATGAAGAAAAGAAAATGGACATGGCAAGGTCAAGTTTTGCATGGCCAGTACATTGAAAAGCTAGCAGGCAAAGCAGATAACAATGAAATTAGTAATGGATAAGAGCAGGAAAATTGAAGAAAGAGACACAAGATCTCATTCTGACTGCACAAGACCAATCCTTAAGAACAAATGCATACAAATCCAGAATTGAGAAGACAGCAACAGAGACCAAATGCTGCCTCTGCAAAGAAGCTAAAGAAACAGTGAACCACCTAGTTACTTCCTGCAAGAAGATCACACAGATGGACTACAAACAACTGCATGACAACGCAGCAACAATGGCACACTGGAATATTTACAAGAAATACCATTTTCGGTGGAACCACAAAATAGAGAGAGTGATAAAAAATGAAGGATCTAAGTGCTCTTGAACTTTAGAATTCAAACAGACAAGCACCTGCCACATAGTACCCCACGCCAGTGGTGAAATTCAAATTTTTTTTAACTACTGGTTTTGTGGGCGTGGCTTGGTGGGTGTGGCAGGGAAAAGATACTGAAAAATCTCCATTCCCACCCCACTCTGGGGCCAGCCAGAGGTGGTATTTGCCGGTTTTCCAAACTACTCATAATTTCCGCTACCAGTTCTTAGAACCTGTCAGAACTTGCTGAATTTCACCCCTGCCCCAGACTTAAGAAATGCCGATAAGAAAGACAAAAAAAATGAATAATAGATGTGGCAATACCTGTAGACAGCAAAGTAGAAGATAAAGAACTGGCAAAAATAATAAGTTAAAGACCTGAAAATAAAAGTAGAATACTGTGGTAAAAGAATGCAAAAATAGTACAAATAATAATAAGTGCTTTGGGTGCAAAACCAAAACATCTGGAGGGCCACTTCAACACCATTAGTGTTGACAAAACCACCATCCATCATCTGCAAAAAGCTGCTTTACTTGGAACAGTTTACAACTTGCAGTGATACCTTTAACGCCATCAAACAACATGTGCCTATTCCAAGTCCTTGGGAAGGACTCGACTGGTAAATGCAATTCCAAACCTAGTCTAAACATCTGGTTGACTGTGAGACAAACCACAAAAAGAATATACACTAAATGTATATGGTGCCAGACTGCCAGCAACTCTGGCCAATTTACACAGTTGTTAAAACATTTTAAAATACAGAACAATATGATGAGCATGTTACCTTTTACTGCCTGGATAGAGATTTCCTATCCAATTCTCAGAAATACACAGTCATGCACAGGAAACCATTTGTGAGAATTTATGTTAGGCCTGGATCAATAATGCAGGAGGCAAAGCAATCCATTAAAAAAAAAAAACAATACCTTGACCTTTTTCTTCGTAGGGGATAATAAAAATACATCAGTATTAAGGACCAAAACAACTCATTTTCATTACATGTGCCGGTATGACTGTTAAATTATAAACTGTCCTTTTTTCTTTTGCTGACCCTGACATTTGTGATTGGAGAATGGCTTGTTAGAAGAGAAAAGTGCACTACAAAGCTTTCTATCCAGCAGACATAGGAGAGAAAAGCCAGATGTACCTCATTAACGTTTTTTCTACAAATTAATAGGGGTGAGGTTGCAATCAATATATAGAGTCAGCAGGCTCCACTCTCTCTGTCTATTCTCTATTTTTCACCAGAAGAAAATTAAAAGATCTTTCAACCTTCCCTCCCCCTTGTATTTATACTTAGGCTTAATGGCAGAGGATCATTTCTTAGTGATTCTTCTTACCAGTTCAGAAATTGTGACTCTGTTAAAAACATTTTACAAAGTGACAGTGTAAATTAGTACACTTTTGAAAATAACTCTTACTTTAATGTTGATATTTGTGCTAAGCATAGATAAGGGAATAGCACGAGCTAGAATAATTTCTGCCTTAGGTCACACTAGAAAGGATAACTGAGAGGAACTTTTGCAGAAGCTCTGGGGGCTGTACAAAAGATTTTGGGGCAGGACTAGATGTAGTTCTGAGACCTCAGATTGTATCCCCACCCCACCCAAGGTAACAAGATTTGGGCTCCAAAAATCCAGACGCCTGCTAGATGACACCAAAATATGCTTAACACTTACTTTTTGCCTAATATCTGGTTGTTAATAAATGCCATATTGAAATTATTTGCTATTATCACAGTACAATATGGAGAACCACTCAAATGAGGCATTGGGTTGAGCAAACCCTTCTGGTTTCTTTCTCATGGGGACCAATTCTTCAGCAAACAGCAGTCTCTTTCTGCACCAAGATGAGTTGGGAATGCATGTTGAAATAGGACATAAATTGGTAGTCTTCTCCAAGTATCTCAACAATGCATCTGCACTAGGCTTCAGAAATCACAAGAGAAGAATCTGAGTATCTGGGTCTCATAAAGGCTAATTAAAAGACCCAGAGAGCCTTCTTCTGAGACCTTGCATTGAGTATCCCCTGGAACTCTGCTTGGACTCATTGTTATTGTTTGGAGTACTCAGCATAGACTCACAGCATAGACACTTTAAGTACCTGTTTAACTCAGTTTCAAAAAATTAAGCAAGTTCACACATAATTAGGATCTGAATGGGAGACAACAAAGAAATACCATAGTTGTAAGGTAGACTGAAAAACAGCACAGAAGAAAGCAATGGCAACCACTTCTGTTTTATTGCCGCCAGGTAAACTACATAACTATATCCATAAATTTACCAGGAATCAAACTCAATTTAAGTGGAATCTAATTTAAAAGTTGTATTTGAACTAAGATATATTACTGCTTACCTACTCTCTACTCATAACAAAAAATAAATATATATTTTTGTTGAACAAAAAAAAATTCTGTTTTTTAATGGAAAACACTAATTCCTGTACCCTGGAATTATGTTATTTGGGCTGTCCTCTTTACTTATAAAGGCGCAATGCTTTATGGAAGGAAGATGACTCAAGGACATTTGCTAGGAGTCTATTGGGCTTCCTTGGCCACCATGAGAACAGATGGATGCACTAGATAGGACAGAGATCCAATCTGGCAGGCATGGCTCATATTATGTTCTTAAAAAAACAATTTCTATTGTAACTGCTGAATACAAAGTAAAATTGTGAATTATTTTTCATTGAACATCACTACTTAACCTCCTTGTTAAATTGTTGAATGCACCATGTGTTAAATGGTATAGCTAGATGATTTTGCACTAATTAATAATCTAAGGAGACTATCTCTTGGGATGCACAGACTGTTACAGTTCAAAACAACTTGGTTTAAAACACTATCCCTATGTGAATTTCATTCTGATTTTCCTGCCACCTATTTCTTTACAGATTATCCAAACACTGTGGGAAGAGAAACATTTCTCTTACATACAGTATGCCATGTCATAGGATCCTTGCACCTTTCATTATAAATTGCTTTAAGGTTCCTAACTTAGGGGCAGTACTATTATATGCTTCCATACAAAATTACTCTGGCCCACAGGGAGGGTGATCTACATTTTCCTCCACTTTCCATACTTTGTACAAAACTATCATACTTCACCTGCCTGTCATTTCTTAGGCCTCATTCCCTAGAAAGGGCAATTATGTCTGCAAATGGCATCCAATTTTCTAAAATAGTCAATAGTGATTGTCATAGAAGTCAAAAAGAATCAGAAAAAGATATTTTCATTGGGGGGGGGGGGACAAGATTCTGCTGCAAACCCAACACAGAATGACTACACCTGATAATTTACATGTACCTGGCTCAACTGAGAGAAGGATCTTGGAGGCCTAATGGACCCAGCAGTGTGCTGCAGCTGCCAAAAAAACCAAGAGAGTGCTAGGCTGCATTAACAGAGGGATAGAATCACGATCACGTGAAGTGTTAGTACCACTTTATAATGTATTGGCAAGACCATACTTGGAATACTACATCCAATTCTGTTCACCACGATACAAAGAAAAATGTTGGGACTCTAGAAAGAATTCAGAGAAGAGCAACAAAGTTGATTAGGAGACTGGAAGCTAAAACATATGAAGAACAGTTGAAGGAATTGAGTAAGTCTAGTTTAATGAAAAGAAGGATTAGGAATGACATGATATCAGTGTTGTGATATCTCAGGGGCTGCCACAAAGAAGAGGGAGTCAACCTATTTTCCAAAGCAGCTGAAGGCAGGACAAGGAACAATGGATGGAAACTAATGAAGGAGAGAACCAACCTAGAACTAAGGAGAAATTTGCTGACAGAACAATTAATCAGTGGAATAACTTGCCCCCAGAAGTTGTGAGTGCTCCAACACTGGAGGTTTTTAAAATGAGATTGGACAACCATTTGTCTGAAATGGTGTAGGGTTTCCTACTTGAGCAGGGACTAGACCACCTCCAAGGTCCCTTCCAATTCTGTTATCTCATCACTAACTTACAGGTGCAGTGCCTTTATAGCCATCTTCCTCTGTATTGCTTCTAGGGAATTCTCCCTGCCAAATATTTACATAGTGTTGACCATTTGGATGAAGTTTGTTTCCCCATGGAAAAAGTCTGTCAAAAGAAGCATAGGCAAAAGTTAAGGAAGGCAGTTGTGCAATTGTAATGTTTAGTCGTATTACTATAAAAATAAGATTACTATAAAAACATTGTTAGCTAGTGGCCTATCAGGATAGAAAGAGAGACGAGAAAGAGAGAGCAAAAAAGAAAGAACTGACACACAAGCACAATATTTAAAATGTAAATATTAGCAGCCTGCACTTCTACAGAAGTTTTATAATACAGCATTAATTTCAATACCATTGACTCTGCATTAACTTAAACTTCTGGGTGGGGGGAGTGATTTTTCAGGTTTAGAGACTAGGTTGAAGATACATTGTAGTTTTTTTGCTTAATTAATTTTTCTGGGAAATTACAAATAATGATGAGTACCTGTTTTCAAGACCACCCCGACAGCTATATTCCCATTCAGCTTCAGTCGGTAACCGTTTTCCTGCCCAACTGCAAAAGGCCATAGCATCATTCCAAGAAACATGAAGAACTGGATGGTCCAGCCTAAGAGATATACAGATATACAAGCAACAGAGGATTGGCAACCTTTTAAGATTCTGCATAAGGAAAAGGTTAGAGTATCTTACTAAACCACATTATTGTTTGACACAATGTGTGCCAGTAATAAAACAAATAAAGGCAAAACACTGGTGTTTACCCTTAGAGTTAGATTCAATTTCGTTAATGATGATGAAAGGAAAAGAAAAAGTGAAAGGATAGTATTAATTGTATGCTTCTAAAAGGAAAATGGAATGAATGTCATGTGTTAGCAGTACACATGATGCCTTTAATAGTGTGATTTAGGCTTTTGAGAAGCCTGCTTGCTTCTTTCCTCCAAAAGTCATAGTTGCTCTTTTACTTTGAAGTTGTTTTTTTTTTTTTTAAAGAGATTGGACTACCAATGGAATAGGCAGGTTACAGGGTTTCTTGCTTGAGCAGGGGGTTGGACTAGAATCTACAAAAAACCCAATGGCTCCCTAGGACACACCATCTACTGAAACACACACACATGCTTCTATTTCCATAGTGAATTGTATTTTGGGGTGTAGGCTGTTGAGATGTGTGAGGAAGTTGTCCAGTTTTGGCCACACGGGAAAGAAAAACTGGACAACTTTCTCACATATATCAACAGCCTACACCCCAAAATACAATTCACTATGGAAATAGAAGTCCTGTGAGCCAAGTACAAAACCAAATTGAGGGGAGGAAGGTTTGGGGTTAAAATTATTGAAACATCCTCTT